CCATCAATGGAAAATAGTTCCCACGGCCTTGTGACGCGCATTCGCGTCGCGTCTTTTCTCTTCTTAGCTCTTCCACACCCTAATTTCTTGCACATAATCCCGTTTCTTGCAACCTAATGCCTCCGAAGTCGGCCCTGCGTGAACTGTTCTATGACAACGGCTCCTCCTACGGAAATGATAAATCCCACGTTAAAGTGTGGTGTACGGCCTGTATCGCGACTACGATCCGGAAATTACAGAATGAAGAGGTAGTATCAGTGGCAAATGGAGCACCCCCGCCGCCCCAGCGGACCCCGGAGCAGTGGCGCGACCTAGGTGCGTGCTATCTGGTTACAGATATCAGGCCAGAGCTTGACGTACACTAGCAATTACATGCTTCCAGCCAGTCTCATCGAAGCCAGACAGGATGCGCGGGCATTTGAAGTCGTGTCAAGAGGTGCAGAACTCCCCTACACATATGCAACGACGCAATGCTATCCTCGCGCAACTGGATGCCCAGAAAACCACTGCTCCCCACCCCTATGCATCCTCGAGCTCGTTCATGCCGCCATTGCAGACTCCCCAAGCAACATTCCCGCAGTCATCCTATCACTCAAATTTCCCTCCTCCTCCTCCCAACTATCCCCCTGGGGGCTCGATGTCACCGCCGGCAGACTCTTTACTCTTTTCTCCGTCATTCCCTCCTTCACCCTCACCCTCTCTTACATCTTTGAACGGGTCTTTTGATTCGGGTTCCCCTCGTTCCGATATTCCCCCTCCATTCAAACGACAGCGTACTTCTTCTTCGCATCCTCCCCCAGCATGGACTGCCGAGCAGCAGGACGAATTCGGGCAGGATCTCTGTCGTTTGTTTGTTTCTTGTGGCTGGTCTTGGCAAGCAGTCAGCAACCCTCAATTTCGCATTTTTGTGAACAAGTATATGCCTTCCGCAAAGATCCCCGACCGTCGTGTCCTTTCAGGTCCAATACTCGATCGCGAGGCTGAGAAAGTCGTCGCCAAAACTCGCAAATTGATTGAAGGCAAACTCGCTACATATGTCGAAGATGGCTGGACAAACATTTCTAAGACGCACCTTGATACCTCTATTCTCAGTGTCGAAAGCGAGGTACGAATTTTCACTTCTTCCCGTTCCACGAACTAAATAAACAAAACAGCCACATCTTCTCCGAACTCACGACATGACTGGACGTCCTAAAACTGGCGACGAACTCTTTGAATTGGTCAAGAGTGATTTGGTCTTCGCCAAAGAGACGTATGGTGTTGAGGTTATCGCAGTTTGCACAGACGACGGACCTGATGGCAAAAAGATGCGACGGCTAATCAAGGAGCAGATGCCCTCGCTCGCAGCTTTTGAATGCTGGGCGCATCAATCGAGTCTCATCACTGGTAATTATCTTGCCATCAAGGCACCGTGGATGGCGGCCGCAAAGCTTGCGATCGAGGTGATCAAGTGGTTTAATAACCACGGCACTGCCCTTGACCTCCTACGAGCCCAACAACGACTATCCTTTGATAAGATACTTGCATTAATCCTTCCCATCATCACGCGCTGGGTTTCCCAGTACTGCTCACTTCGTCGCCTCAAGAAACTCGAGCGCGCAATTCGTGCATGTGTAATAACTCATGAGGCAAGGCTTAAAGTTTGCGCCGGCCGCAAGGATGAACAAATCGAAGCTGCTGAGCGCATCATTGCGATTGTGAAGGACGATAGCTTTTGGAAGGATATTGAGCGGTGGGTGAATTCATTTCATCAACTTTGTGCCTTGGATTGACGTACTTCATTCAGTATCGCATCTGATTTAGAACCTCTCGCAATCGCATCCAACCTTCTTCAGGCGCCCACATGCCGGCTGGATACTGTTCTCTTGTGCCTCGGCAATCTTTATCGCATCTTCGATCGCAACGTTGATCCTCTCGTCAAGTCAACCGTGACAAAGAGCCTTGAGCGGCGGTGGGCCAAAACTGATCAGGAACTGATGATACTAGCTGTATTTCTCAATCCTTATATCCGTGACCGCGCTTTTAACCGCTCAAAACTCCCCTCAATGTCGCTCTATCATATGCTCCTCCGCGCGTATCAACGGTTCTATGGCCGAGATGCTACGACAGACATCGAGTTGATGAAAACATTCGAATCGTATCTTGGAGGCGTCGACTACTTCTCGGACGCCGCGATGTGGCTCAGTGGCTTCAAAACAATGTACGAAGCATCGGTAAGCCGCGTTGCTTTGGCAATCAGCAGTGAACTAACTTGGCGCCAGAACCAATCTGTTGATGTCACGGCAATCTGGAAGCGTATGGATAGTGGGCCTGAGCTCACGGGTCGGGGCGGGTTTGCCAAGCTTGCGATCCGCATCCTGAGCATCGTTCCAAATTCAGCGGGACCTGAACGTATTTTCAGCACGTACGGCATCACTCACACCAAGCATCGTAACCGGCTTAACCCGCAAAAAGTCCATAAATCCACGACAGTTCGCATGGATTGTAAAGAGAGTCATCGCGCCGCCGGTCTGGTTCCTCAACGAAAGGCGCGGCATTTCAGTTTAGCTGACGACCAAGCGGCAATGGCCGCCATGGATGCTGATTCCGCGTCAGCGGCACAAGACGGAGCATCGATCGGTCCATCGGCAACGGATGCAAACGACCTCGATTTCGGTCTTGTGACTGATTTATTGATTAATTTGGCAGCCAGTGAAGAGGCCGACAACGCAGCGGCCGCCGCCAGTACTCCTTCTCCTCCTATCTCCGCATCGACATCCATGATTGACCCAGTCCTTCGCCTTCCTCTCTATAAGAAAATCAAGCTCGCAGACTTGTTTGAATATCCAGTGGCCGGCACACCGGCGGAGGAACTCGAATTCTTCTGGAGGGGTGGGGTCAATGGTCTGGACGAGGAAGAGAGCTCACACGAGGAGGAAATGGAGGTCTCGAGATCAGAAATGGAGGGTACCGAAGCAAATTCTGTTTGATGTGCATATATTCTGGTACAATATTCCATTTTTCAACGTGTTCTGATACAGAACTGCAAGTGGAGTAAACAGGATTTGTTAATAGATATCCTTGCATTGTACGGAATGGATCTCGGACTGTGCGACAGCATCCTGGGCGCGCAAAGGAGGATGTAACACCCCGATCAATATCCCTCGGAGTGTGCCGGAACAGGTCATGGACCGGTCAATAGAGATCGGTCAATAGATCGGCCACTGACCGGACCGCATTGACTGACGGGTATATACCCGGTCAGTGACAACACTGCACAAACGAAGTCGGAGTCGGGCTTTACCTGGCGAGGACGATTTGGTGTTCCTGGGCGAGGATTATGGTCGTAATCATGACATTACCCCCCCTCTAGGGTCGACGTCCTCGTCGACTGTGACGAATGTTCCGTTTTCCGGAATAAATAATTTCTTCGTCGAGTATTCTAAGGACTCCTCCTTTGTCTTGTATCTTTTGATTAAATAGTCCCAATGTCCCTTCGGTAGGACCGGCAACACCCGAATCACAATATTGTGCTCGTCATTATATCTGTCCAAGAGCTTTCCCACGTTCGTTAAGTGCCTCCGTGGTTCCCACGTCCATTCATTCAACGGGTAATTTTTCCACTTGACGAGGTATTGATAACCTCGTCCGCGCTTCCTGTGCTTCAGGATCTCCTCCACCTCATACTTCTCGTTTCCAGAAACGATCTGCGGTGCCGGCCGCTCCTCTCTTCTCTCTGCCGGGGGCTCCACATACAGCGTTAAGAGTGCCTCGTTGAAGACCGGGTATGACAGATCCGTCTCCGGCAATCTTAATTTATATGACGATGCCCCGACCTTCTCCAAGATTTCGTAAGGCCCCAGCCTTAGGTCATCAAACTTCTTTGTGGGACGATCCTTGACTATGTTTGTTCCCTCGAGCCACACTTTGTCACCCACTTTGAACTCCGGCGCATCTTTTCTATGTGTGTCATAATATTTTTTCATTGTTTTCTGGGTTTTCTCCAGCGCAGCTGCCGCTTCATCGCGGATCTTTTTCATTTTTTCTGCAAAGTCATTCGCGGCTTCGTTGCGCGACTCAATTGCATTTTCTATCCCCTTCCAGGGATGGTATCCCGTGTTCACAAAGAACGGTGACATGCTCGTCGACGAGCTCGCCTTGTCATTGTGGGCAAATTCGGCCAAAGCCAGCCACTCTGCCCAATCCGACTGCTGATAGTTTACATAAATACGGAGATATTTTTCAATCTCCTGGTTCATCCGTTCGGTCTGGCCGTCCGTGATAGGATGGAAAGCCGTGCTCAGATTGGGCGAGGATTATGGTCGTAATTGTGACATATTCCGGCCAAAGCTCAAACACCGAATGGTGACATTTCACTGCAGTGAAGGTAATAACTGAATGTTCGAATAGCCATTTTTTTTGAGACCCCATGAGATCCCAGGCAAGCCGAATAAATGAATCGGCCTGAAGTCCAATAGGGAGTGGGGGAAAGAAAAAAAACGTCAACCGTGCCCATATCCGGACGCCGTGAATCGAACCCGACTTGTCGCATTCATATCAATATGCCAATCATACGTAGCGGGTGTGCGCCGTGCACCACATCCGAGTTATTTCCCCACCCTGAAGGGAGGCTGCGAGGACGAGTTTCTGGGTGTACGAAGAGGTCCCTATCGTATATTAAGTTACCGTAACCGTGAAGTTGGAAGTTGGCGGGATGAATCCCCTTAAAGACGCCTAGGAGAAAAATATCTTGTAGCTGTTATTCGGACGCCGGGAATCGAACGCCAAGCGAGTGTGTGTCGTGCACCACATCCGAGCTACTCTTTGACCTCAGAGGGAGGCTCCGAAGGCGATTTTCTGGACCTATATCATTGGTGAGTCACATAAATAACAAGGTAGGAGCTGCGAGGGTCCCTGTCAGATAAATCAGCTACCATAAACTTGGAAGTTGGTGGAATAATCACCATCCAGGTAACCCATGAGGAAGAAAAATAAAGAAAACAAAGACTTGTAGCTGCTAATTCGGACGCCGGGAGTCGAACCCGGGCCTCCGGCTTTCTAGGCGGTACCCTGTCTAATGCGAGCGTGTGTGTACCATACACCACGTCCGAGGTACTGTTTAACCTTGGAGGGAGGATACATGTAGATTTTCTGGGCGCGAGGGCGATACGTGCGATGGGCACAAAGGACGGGTGTCGTTCTGATACGAGTTGTTTCAGACCAGCCGCTGATCCGCTGCCAAAAGCCCCAGAAGTTGACAGAGTTCGGACGCGGGGAGTCGGAGTCGAACGCGGTCTTCCCGCACAAGTTCCCGCATTTATTGAATAGCAGCGACAAGAACAAGCGAGGGTGCGCAGCGCCCACGCCCGAGGGCTTGGGTACCTTTATACGCGAACAAGATCCACGGTGGATGAAAACTTTGACCTGAGGACGTGAAGTTGACGTGAAGGTCAAAGCGAAGGCTTGATCCCATCACGGCATCATGGCAGCTTCGCGTCTCTTTCTCTTTCTTTTGTCTTGACCACCACGTCACTCCAGCGTCGAGCCGGACGGTGCGCTCTTTGTCAACATTGGGCTATACTTGCCTTGCACTCGAAATCTCTGCTATCTGACTGGTCAATCTATTCATTTCTACCTCTCGAATCAAACTGCCCTACGTTCTCCTCCGCGTGCTCCCGCAGACGCCAGCGAACGAATGGGCCGAACGATGCTCCACCTCCGTTGACACCCAGCACCGCCGTGCCCCACTCGTACCCAGGATAGTAAGCACGCAGTGGTACTTGCCAGTGCCCACCACGCTTGCCACCGTCAATGCGTACCTCCCGCGTACCTATGTGCGTCTCTCGTCTCAAGCTCTTTCCGATTCATCTTCTCTAACCTAACTCCCTCGCAATCAGAATCCACCCAGTCCCCAGCACCCTCTCCATCCGAATCGTCCTTCCTCCACTACCCCCCCGCGACACTCTGCGCGACAGTGCACACGGGGCACTAGCACTCTTCCTCCGCCCTCGCGCTGCCCTCGCCCTCTTTCTGTTGCTGTTTCTGTTCACCCCCCTCGTCCTTCTTCTCCACCCCACGCTTCCTCCTATCGCGCCCCCTCCTCCCCCCGCGCGCGATTCCCGATGCCCCTCCATCGTCGAATGCGTACTCGACTACGGTTACGGCTACACATAGTGCGGTGGACCTACCTAGCCACCCCGCAGCTCGGGAGAGCACCCCGCGCTCGCAAGTCGTCTCATGGCGGGGTGCGCGTCGTGAGTGAAGATTCAACAAGCCCGACCTCAGGCCCGCGCCACGAACGTAAGCGCGGCCATGCGTGCCACCCACGCCTTCTCGTCGACGGCGATGTCGGTGGCGAGCGCTCGCATGCCCTGGTCTTGCCTTGTCAGATTTTTCGCCGGATTAACCTGGACAGGATATTGTGCTTCCTTTGAACTGGCCTGGAAAGCATCCCTTTGCTGATGGATGTTAGGCCTCGGCCAGCGTGGGCCTGTGCCGATGTCCTCTGATCCTTGGGCAGGTGTCTGGTACATTTACTGTACCAATTTGTATGGTAGCAACCCTCCCAGAGACATTACGAAAATTTTAGGCTACGGTGTAGCCACCGGTTGCCTTATTTAGTGCTGGACCTCCCCAAAAAGGCAATTACAGCCCCGCAAGACCGAAAAATTCCCAAATTTGGCTTCAAAAGTTCAGATTTTGAGTGTTACGGGCAATTTAGGCAACATTTTTGGGCCAGTGTTATGCGTTATGTTGCCACCATACAGATTGGTGCAAAAGTCCCTACTAATTGCAACCTCCACTTACCAATTATCGCTTATCAAAACATGTATCGGAGCGCAAAGGCGACTATCTAGTGGCTGCCACCACAGCGTCGTCTGTTCTCTGGTGCGTGATTTTAACATAACGTTCTCAACAGGAGCTGAGTGTCATATCTTATGCGTCGTTTCGCCCTCGCCCTCTGTGTTCAGATATCTGATCCCAACGGTTATTCTGTCGCCGAATGCCTGTATTCGAAATGTTCCTTACATTCCTAGCCGAGCTCGAACCGTCACCGCGTGAGGTCAGCTTACTTTTCTCTCATTGCAGAATAGGAACATTGACTACATCTTTTTTATCCATACGTGAACTTCGAACTCGGCTTGTTTTTTTTTCTTCTGATTGGTTCTCATATAATCAATTACCCCGCCCATGACTGCGCCACGCCGCCACGCCGCCATCCCAACACGCGCAAATTCTATTCCGATTTTTATGTTTTAGGATTCCGAGCGGCTGCACTTCTCATATTTTCGGGTCTTCATTTGCAATTGACTGCGGGTCGATTCACCCCTATGCTCGCCCCGCGTTACCTTGCATTCCCGACGCGTTGCTGCCATCCTCGCTGTTTATTTACCGGAGCAACTCGTAGAAAGGCCCGGGGTGCGTTCCTATGGCATCATATCGCAGTAGAATTTGTCCAATATGCCAGTGTCCGTTCAAGATTCCGCTGGAATCTGAGCTGTAGTAGTGCGCGATTGTTTCCCACTAGCACCCGCTATCCAAACGTTTTTGATTCCTAGTTAGACGGCCCACCGCGCGCGAGCAAGGAATATGCCGCTGGTACACCAGTACTATGCGCCCTTACTTTCAACTCCGGGAATATTAATTTTGTGCCGTGACTGCCGCAGCCGGGCCTCGAGCACCGGTACAAGATGAGTGATTTCAGCCAATAAATAATGGGCATGCTTGATTCTTTGGCTCAACACCGCAGCCTGGGTTGTATTATACCGTACATCAACCTTCATCCTCCTGCAGCACAAAAAAAATGAATTTGTCCTGGAAAGTTGGGCAGATGGATTGGCGTGAAACCCAATAGGGGGCGGAAGAAAAAAAAGTCTGAATAACCATTCGGACGTCAGTATTCCAACGAGGGCGGGTGAGCGTGCGTCATGCACCAGGTCAGAGTCGCTCTTTAACCTTGAAGGGATACCCAGACATAGTCTAACCCAGCCTCCCCGCTTCCTATTTATCTCCACGGGATATACGCAGTGCGAGCGCGTGTGTGCCACACACCACCTCTGAGGTACCCTTTCACCTTGGAGGGAGGCTGCGAGGACGAGTTTGGCGTCCCGGGCGTACGAAGTATGGCAACACGCACTGGACAGCTTCATATTTCCGCGCCGGAACTTCGGCAGGCGTGATTGGCGGTGGCAAATGACCCATTAGGGTTGTAGGACCCCAGATCCATGTGAGAAATGTTGGTGGGGGTATCCTGCACTACCGTCAGCAGGTTCTTCTGTGCCGTTATTTATTCGGCTAAACCCCAACTTATTCTGCGCAAGTTCGCCCACAATCAACTCAAAATTCAACAAGCGCGTATGACGATCAGAACCACTTCCATGTGGTTGCATTTGTGTCTGGCTCCGCGTCTCATCTTCCAGACCCGTTGAATGTACGAAAATGCTACTGACCACATGTGATCATAAATTACCTTCCATTCAACCTCAAATTCACTTCGATTTAGACTAGGCTCAAACAAGCGGAGCATTTGGGATGCCATATTCTGCGCGCGAATTTATGACGATTTTCGGGCCATCCAGATTCCCTCTCCCAAGTTCTTAATGGGTGTAATAGCCAGCAGATCTTTGCATCCAGGGACATATCTTCAATATAGAGTAAGGTCTGAAAAACATTCTACTTCCTGGGCCCAGACCTCTTCTCGTGGCCCCAAAAAAGCGGTATTATCATGATATGTGTGCCTCGAGGGCCCTCGAGGCGAGTTCAATGGGCCTTGACGCAGTCCCTCATTGAATATTTAGGTTCAGTCTCCATGCGAAAGTTCATTTCTTTACGTCGTACCCGGTGAAGCTCGGATCGAGGCCAATCTTAAATCTAGCTGCGACCGATATCGTTGAGAGTATCTGGATGAAGGCGGACTGATAGATATTACTTTTTCAAATTGTTTTCAGTACTCTTCTTAGGAACGAAATGCTCGTCTCCCTTCCCGAGCCTCATGAAGTCGAACTATTTTTTATCAGTGTTCTTATTCAAACTTCTTATTGGGTGACTTCCCGTAAGATTTAAATAATCATTCTGAATATCTACGCATTTTCCGCCGCGATGCCGGAGAGCCATCAGGACCCCATCGGACACAGATCTCGCTTAGACCCCTCGAATAGATCAGGTATATTCCGAATCTATTCGGGGGGTAGGGACCCCCCGAATAGACATGAAAACGACGAGAATAAACCGTTTAGGAAGTGTGGTGATGGCCGTGTGGCGGTGCCCACGCTCTTCGCTTCCACCACGCTTTGCTCGCTGGCACTCTCCCTCTCTGTTTACCCTCTTCACTGACCTGGATGCACTCGGGCTTCACTCCGGCTTCACGCATGGCCATTAACGATGGGTTTGACCACAACTAATCAATTTATTTGACAACATTTTTACTTCTCTTCAAACGACCTCCAAAAGCGGTGGAATGGCGTGTTTTTCAGTACGGCGAGGCGCGATAGACATATGGAAGGCCTAGGTACCATCGCCGGTGCACGCTGTGACGCGCCACAAAACAATTTCTCGCTGTTTGCCGCCTTCTCGGCCTCTTGTTTTACCTGTAAGCGAGCAACTTTCCGATTAATTCCGACACTCATTGGCCTCTGCAGAGGGTTGTCTTGGACACTCTCCATGTGTGCACCTTGTGCTCGACCCTGCCGACGTCTTGGCAGAGCAACAAGGGCCGAATTTCCGAGTGCGAGGAGTTTAAAAAGGAGGGAGCAACTCTAGAACGGTACGGTGCTCATTAGTGCGCTGCCCATTACTTCTTTTGACTCTATATCTCGCAGAATATGTCTGACCAACCCCCACGCACACCGTTCACTCCCCTCTACACCCCCGAGCTCAGCCGCGACGCGAACGGCAACCTTTTATACCGTGATCAAGATGGCCGTTGGCTCCCTTACAATGGGTTCTTGCCGGTCTGTTCCTACAGCTGTATGTCTTCAATTCCTACTGATAGGTTCACAGAACCAACAGCAGGCAATGCCTGAGCAGACACCGCAATCACTTGGCCATGTCCCTTCGGTATACCGTGTCTTTTTGACAGCTTATTACTTGTGTACTGACCTTTCGCTATAGA